CTTCCTCCTCCCTTTCCTGCTCATTCCCTTTTCCTCCTCTTCCTCCTCCTTCACTTCCTCCTCCAATCCTCCCATTCCTCTCCTTCTTCCAACTCCCCCTCCCCTTCCTCACCCATCTCCTTCTCCCCCTCCTCTTCCTCCTCCTCCCCCTCCTCATATTCAATTACCTCTGCAGGCTTCAACGGAGGACAGATGCAGGTGGTCTCCTCACTCCATGGACTGAGCCCTTGTGGAGTCACCGCAGCATATCGGAATTGGTACCGAAGATAGAGATGGTCCTCTGGAAGGGTGAATCGATCCTGAGGACTTTCTATACGGAGACCTTTCCAGTTCCCTTCTGCAATCCGATATTCCACCTGGTACCCGGAGACCGAAGCTGTCTCATCAGTCCCCGGATGAATAGTAATCTGGAAACTATTTGGCTGGACTGGTTCAACCTTAGGAGGGGCTGGTCGTCTAAGAGCAACTTCTCGTTTCTGATGTTCCTTGAGGACCTCCAGGGTCAAGGTTAAACTTTTGGTTTCCAGCCTCTTGAACGAATCGAAGAAATCCTTCATGCTCTCGGTGCTCATTTTCCAGGACGTTTCGGCCGCAGCATGACGGCTTCCTCTGTATTCTCGTGGACCAAAGAGAGAGGAATGGTTGAATCTGAAGTGAAGAGGGGTCCCTGACTCATCCTGAGCAAGTGGCAATTTAGCCTCCGCGAGGGCCTCCAGGACAGGTGGGGTCCCCACATCCGCAAAGGTGATCAGGAGTTGGACGTTATCCTTCAGGTCTTTTCCCAACACGGAGAGCATGGAATCAAAGATATGTTTCTGGATGTCAGTTGAATGGGGAAGGAAGGCCTGGGCCACCAAGCAGATGGCATCCACGTGGTCAAGGCTCCCCAGGGTGGAGAAAAACTCCAGGAGCTGCTCCGGCACCCGTTTGTCTTGCTCTGCGTCTCTCATGCCTTCAAACCCTGGCGTGTCAATGATGGTGAGAGAATAAGGACATTGCAAACCTCTTTCATAGTTCACCACGTAGGTTGTGACTTCCGATGTCCTGCTTCCAAGAAGTGGAGCGGTTTCATGAATGAGTTTGAATCTAAAATCATCTTCCCACTGGACCCCCAGGATATAATGGATCATCCCGTTGATCAGAGTGGTTTTCCCACATCCTGTGGCCCCCATCACCAGGATGACTTTGTTGGACACTTCTGGGTTCTCTTTTCCAAGCTGGTATGTGAGACAGGAATTGGAGGCATCTGAGGGGACCTTCTCCAGAGGAAGGGTGAAGACTAATGGCTGCCTGTCCTCCACCAGGTAGCCTTTCTGAAGGAACCGGTGGGCTATCTTTCCTCCATCTTCTTCCTCCAGTGATGTGGAGACCTCCAGTTCCTCACTGGGGACACCCAGAGCACCATTCTCACACACGGCCAACACTCTTATTCTGTAGGCTGTCTGGGGCTTCAGACCTTCAACGGGATAAAATCCTGTTTTTCTCCCTGTCTTTTTTTCAGTCCATTGGTCCTTCCCAGCTCCAGCCTCCACCGTTCTATACTCCACCTTGTACTCCTTGACCACAACTCCGGAGGCAACGATGCTGGGGCTCATCCAGGCCACAAAGATGACAGAAGATGCCGCAGTGACCATTCTTAATTTCTCAGGGGGGCTGGTGGGAAGGGTCTTGATGGGTGGGGTCAAGTCACTGGATTGACTAAGGCCCAGCTTGCAACAAGCAGTGTACTGGAACTGGTACTCGGTGTTTGGAGGCAGATCTTTCAGCAGGAACATCTCCCTCGTGTCCTCTGTCCTCACCAACTTCCATTTTTCTTCATCGGCAACTTTGTACTCTACCAGATAGCTGGAGATGGCAGCCTTTCCATATTCAGCTGGTTGAAACTTCAGTTGAATGCGGTCGTGTCTCTGTTCAGTGATGAGGAAAGGGAGAGGTTTTGAGGGCAACTCAACGTTCTTACTGACAAGATCTCCATCTTCATAAAGGTATATTGAGGCTCCTGGGTTGTCCACATCCGGGAGGGAGGCCACCACAAAGCGGACCTTCTCATTGGATTGATTGATACTGAAAAAGTCTTTCATGGACTTAGCAGCTCGGCGAGCATTGTGGGTCCTCTCCTTGTCCTCAAACCAGGCCTTGCCTTTCTTCACCCCAGGAGGGGACTTTGTGGACTTATCTGATTGTTGCAAGAATTGCTCTTGAAGCCAGTCCTGTAACCTCAAGAGAAATGGCTCCTCTTCATGTAAAGAAGTGAATATAAAGGAGACCATGTATACATTCTGGGCATCAAGAACTATTTCCTCCAGCTTATTTTGAGATGAGATAACTTGCATTTCATTGAGAATTTCCCGATAAGATTTGACATGGTTAAGTTCCCTTTTCTTGGTCTCGAGAAATTCACGGAGACTTTGGCTGTTGAAGGGAGACCGGTTGACGGATGCTAAAATGTCCACCGGGGTCCCTTCCTCCTGCCCTCCTCCCCGGATGGAGGGCAACACTCTGGCCAGCTGTTTCTGGAAAGTCTGCCTGTGTTGCTTTAACAGATCCTTGAACTGTTGGATCTTCCTCTTGATCTCAGGGAAGGTCTCAGCCATGGGATTCTTGGCTAGATCATTGCTTTGCATCTCAATTTCGTTGAGTTCGTCCAAGATCTTTTCAGCATCAAAGATCAACGTTAGGCTGATCTCACGGACCATCTTGGCTGCTCTGGTGTCCAGCTTGCTCAGTGGGTAGAGCCAAACCCTCATAGGCACAGCCTTCTCTCCATCTTTCCCTAACATTTTGGGTAACGTTGTGTAAACCTGCATGGCATCTTGGAAGGTCACCGGATTTTTGTCCAAAGAAAAGTCCCCGTGGAACGTGCAATTGAACTTGAGCGCGTTCTCTTTCTCCTCCTCCTTTAGCTTCATATCTGCTTGTCCTGTGATCGATATTTCCTTCTTGATTGTAACCTGGAGACTTCCTTGAATATCTTTCACCGTCTCCGTCGATGAGACTTCTCGGTCAAAGACAAAAAATGCCTGGGCTCCGTAGAGGATCGCGGTGACCACGTGGGTGGCTGTGCCATGCTCGAAGACGGCTGGGTAAGAGACATTCTGGATTCCCAGGTGGCTCATGGTCAGCTCTTCATACCTGGTGGTGGTTTTGTACAGAACGATGACTCTGGCCTGTTTCTTGGACTTCTTGGTGTCATGAAGATACTTGGCTGACCCTCTCACATTAATCAGCCCCCCCAGGAAACTGGCCTTCATGGCTCCTGAGATATCCAGGGCGGAGGCCTTGTCGTCTAGGCTGTCAGATGCCGTGATTCCAGAGGCTGTCTTGGGCTGGGGTCTGATGGTCTGGTCTTTCTGAAGAGAGCTGCAGTCCCAAAGGGTGACCCCTGCATGGAGCACAAAAAGAAAGGAGGGTGAATTGAACGTCCCCCCAAAAAACAGTCGCTGCCTAGAGGAGCCCCAGAGAGGTGGTACAATAGAGGCATCTTCCCCCTCATTTGTTCTTCCCAGTCATCACCGGAGAAACCGCCTGTCTGTTTTGGAAAAGACTGCAAATCTAAAAGGCTTTGGACAGAATCGAGAGGAATTGCTTTGCCTCTAATAGTCTTTCTTCTTGATAACAGATCATCAGAGTTGGATAGGACCTTGTCGGTCATCTAGTCCAACCCTCTGCCCAAGCCGGAGACCCTACACCATTTCTGACAAATGGCAGTCCAGCCTCTTCTTGAAGGTCTCAAGTGATAGAGATAGATAGATAGATAGATAGATAGATAAGATGGATAGCTAAAAAGAAAATAGATATATGATAGATAGATAAGATAGATAGAAAGAAAATAGATAGATGATAGATAGATAAAATAGATAGAAAGAAAACAGATAGATAGAAAGAAAATAGATAGATAGATAGATAGATAGATAGATAGATAGATAGATAGATA